CGTCAGATGCTCTCCGCTTGATAAACGCCACCGCAACACGCAGCCAGCCACCTACAGGAAGGTGTCCAACTAACTTGCCGCACAAGGAAAATATGCTTCGCCGCGTGACAACGGAGGGCATGTCTGGGAGTTCGTTTCCCCGTTTCCAATACAGGACGTCATCTTCTCCCCAGACCTGCAAACCAAGCACCCGTGCACCATCCTGTAGTCTCTCCGGTTCCTTGCTGAGGAGGCCAAAGTTGTAGAGATGCTCCTTCACGCGCGCCGCAGATACGACTCCCTCGTTCACGTACACGTCATCAATATATGCAGATGTTGCCCGCTGTATGCGCTCATCCTTCGTTAGAATGGCGTCAACAATCATCTGCATAATCGATGGCGCCACATTGAGTCCAAACCCCATGCGGGTCAGGCAATACCGTTGCCCCTTGATAAGCACGGTTTGATAGGGCCACAGTGATTGGTGCACACGCACTTGAAGGTATGCCTTGCGAAGATCCAGCACAGATACATTTGATCCTGCTTGTCGCCATTCCCTTAGCTTCTCGGTACACACGTCCGCGCGGGCAGTAAAGGGTCCACGTGCTCGTTCAGTTCTCGATAGTCGAGCACCGGCCTCACCTTTTGTTTGTTGTGCTGGAGAACCGCCATTAGCGGGATCAGGCCCTTTGGGGCCCCAATTCCTTCTCTGGATAAGGAACCAACCACCCGTTATTAATCCAGGCTCGCAATTCCTTGTCGTACTCCGCACGAGCTCGCGGGGGATCTTATACTCCGGCACATTGTTGTACAGCTTCTCTGGCGGTTGATCGTCTGACCATTTCCAAGATACCGTCCAGGACTTTGTGCGCTGGTCGAACTCCGCACGAAAGTCAGGCCGTTCAAGCTCCATTGCTGCACCTAGAGCTAGACCTGTTTCGGTGAAACGCGCCGACCCTCTTCGTCAACACGGACACCACCCAATTTTTTGATGACGTCCATTCCCAGGAGCAGATCATAGCCGAGCAGCCCTCCGTCCACGACCAGGGCTTGTACAGCTACTGCAGGCCCATCGCCGATGCTTGCGCGGATGACGCTCACTCCACAAGAGGTTAGCGAGCCCCCGCCAACAGTCAGAACTGGAATATTTTTCTTGTCCCACGTGTCACAACATGCCTTGCGCACAAGGGTCTGGGTGCACCCGGTGTCAACAAGCGCGAAGCGCTCACGCCCGTTAATCCGCACGCTCACTGCGGGTAGCGCCTTGTTCAGCGGCGATCTGGGGAGAAGACTGGCGCTGTAGCTTACTCCCCTTGCCCGTTTCCCGGACAGCTTCTTGCTACGTGGCCCAACTTGTCGCACCTGTAGCAACGCATACGTCTTCGTGTTCCTCGGTTATGCGTATCCTTCGCACCGCTTCGGCAGTCTTTGGAGAAGTGGTTCAGTCCGCCACATTTATAGCACCTTATGTCCTCAGTTGGCGGTGCGGGTGCTTCCACAGCTGCTGAGGCCGGCTCCGCGTCATCTTTTAGAATATTCCGGGCTCTGGCCAGTAATTCGTCTAGCCCCAGCTCATTGAGCCTTGACGATGCTCGTAGCAGTCGACTTGCGTTGTCTGGGAGTCCTGCCAGAAAGGCGCATCCTAGGATTTGGTCGCTTGCTCCACCGAACGGTGCCCCCAGCTTCCTCAAATCGGCCAGAAAGACATCTACTGTTTCATCCGGTCCAAGCCGTCGTTCGGTAAACTGCCTCCAGGCGACAAAGGGGTCCGCACCAAATGATGCGTATAGAGCTTGTTTTATTTCCTCCAAGTCTGCGTCATCCCTTAGCTGCTGATACACAGCGTAAGCTCCTTTGGTGAGTCTAAGAGGGATAACCAGTGCGGGATCTTTAATTTTACACAGCCGGCAGACCCGCTCGGCCTTTTCCCACCACTCGACCACAGACGGGCCAGCGGGGGAGCCGTCGAACTCTGGTATTACCTTCAAGTCGAATCTGTCCATGCTGTAATAATTGCCGAAATAGCTTGTAGCAAATGAGTCGACTTGAACAGTGTAAGGGACGCAACTCTTTCCGTCTGAAAATGTCTGCAACGCAAAACGATGTACACCAAGCACGGGTGAAATGTTGGTCTGCCAATGTCTCCAAGCAACCTGCTTTTATGGAGCCCAGACACACCTCATTAGCATGTGTGTAACGCGACTTTGCGTGACTGCACGAGACCATGAATATTAAAAGTCACGGACGCCATTTTGAATCTTTTCTTTCCTTTCTCAACCCACAGGCCAGGAAGATGCGAGAACGTTTGCGAGGTAGGCCGTTTCTATTTTCCCCACAATATATATATATCCTGGACCCTACTGTCGTTTTTACGATGTATGAGGGTCAAGTAACTCAGTTCCTAGGAACCGACAGCCAGACACCTGCACATATGACTTGATTAGCGTGGTGAATGCTTTGTGCAGAGCCAACCACACTTTTTCGATTGTGCCCCAAGAGCAACGTCTTTCCTTTCCCATTAGCTGCTCCATCGCAGAGCATAAGCTGGGTCAAGCAAGGATATGCAAGTGATAGAATTTTAAGGAATTAGTATAATCAGTATATTAATTCGTCGAGTCTAGAATAATCTTCAACAAAATACAGAGAACACTAAACGGCCTCTTCGTCCTATTTAGGACTCATCAGTAGTCCGCCTTCACTACCAAGAATCGAACCCGGACCGCTAAGTTACAACTCAAGCGCCATACCTACTGTACCAACTGTACGAAGAAGACACAAACAAGATTCCATATATCGCCGCTACTCACTTGGTGATCCTCATGCAACTAGTCACAACCCAACAGGTTGTCCCTCAAGAGCAACGTATTTTCCTTTTCCCCTTAGCCGCTCCATCGCAAGGCATTAGCTGGGTCAAGCAAGCATATACAAGTGATAGAATTTTGGGGAATTAGAAAAATCAATATAGTAATTCATCGAGTCTAGAAGAATCCTCAACAGAATGCAGAATGCACTGGACGGCCATTTAGTCCTATTTGGGACTCATCAGCAGTACGCCTCCTCTACCGAGAAACCACTCATCAGCAGTAACAATCGGAAGGTCACGTTGGAATATGCAAGAAAGTACAGAGATGAGCGATAAGAGTTCTGGAAGAAGGTTTTATGGACTGATGAGACCAAGATTAATCTCTACCAAAGTGTTGGGAAAAGCCAAAAAGTGGGAAAAGAAAGGATTTGCTTATGATCCTAAGCATACTACCTCGTCTGCGAAGCATTGCAGGATCAACGTCTTGTCTTGGGCTTGCATGAATGTTTCTGAAACAGGCTCATTAATATTTATTGATGATGTAACTCATGATGGCAGAAGCAGAACGAATTCAGAAATCTATGGGAACACACACACACACACCCATATATATATATATATATATATATATATATATATATATATATATAAAGAGGAGAAATACATTGAAAATACTTTCAAGCTTCTTCAGTACTCAGATTATTTTATATTCAATGGGAAACAAAAGTTTCATAAAATATTCCAAAATAGAAAAACGGTCCCTCCTGGCAAACTCAATGAATCAAAAAAATATATTGTTCTACCAAGTAACTCTATCACATCTACAATTGGAAAGAATCTATCTAAATATAACATAAAATTTGTTACTACTACATCTAAAACAATAAAAGACTTAGTCAATATTAAAACAATAAGCTAAAACATGAAAGAGGAATTTACTCGATCGCCCGTAATAATTGTTAGAAAAAATACATATGAGAAACCCCGAGGAATCTAAATAAAATATTATATGAACACAAAAGGGATATTTTACAAAATAATACGTTGGCTGCCCACCGTAACGTGACTGCCCACAATTTTGACATAATAAATGCTACTCTGATCAAAGAAGAAATAATTCCCTACTACGACGTAAATGTTTAGAGAGTGCATTCCTCGCAAGGTCATTTACGGGAAATTTTCGCCTTGGCTGTTGCAACATTTCACCATTGCTGGCAGATCTTCTATTATCATAGTGTGGGATATCTACTAAGAAAAGTGATGGAAAGGAAAAGAAAAGAATTTAAATAAAATCGGCTAGATAAATAAAAGTAAAATTTAAAATTCCCAGCATCCTTCGTTCATGCGCATGTGTAGTTGCGTCAGTATGACAAATTTAGTCCGATAAAGTCCGAAAGTACGAAACGCGTCACAAGAAAACTTTTTTCTATTTTGTCATACATTTTTCCCCAATATTGTTCTTGATATATAAAAATATATATCATTATCTCATATACAATCATATACATGGATAACTTGTTTAAATGCCGCAAAAACGAAAATAACACTAACAAAATAAAACTAACATCTCATTTTAACAGATATATTTACCAAAATTACCCCAAAATATCTTGAAATGCTAAAGAGTAAATTCATTCAATAAAATCGCGATTGGCTTCAACCACGGCCTCCAGACCACTTCGGAATCTCCTGCAAATCTTCTGGACGGTCTCTTTGTTTAAGTTGGTGAATTCTGCTATAATCCTTGCCTTCAGTTCATCTTTGGTGTTACAAGGAGTTTTGTTGATCTCTCGCTCAACTGCACCCAAAGCATAATAACCAAGGGGGTTGTAGTCTGGAGAGTTTGATGAGTAAGAGATGCTATAGTCGCAGAAATTTTCTAATAGGCATGACAGGGTTCTCCTGCTTGTGTGGCATCGAGCAGAGTCCTGTTGTATGACATAGGGTCTTCCAGCAGACACTCTCTTGACCCAGGGCAGCACTACCTTCTAAAGGCACTTTATATAGGTCTCTGTGTTAAGTATGAGGCCTTGTGGGAAGATGAATGGAGGCATAATGTCGCCATCATTAGTGGTCACTCCAAACACCTTCGTAATCACCATTAGACTCATCCAACTCTTTCCGAAAAAGAGAGAGAGATACTGTAAAACAAACGGAGTAAGACATAGATGAATAAACAGATAAATAAATAGATATTGTAAAAGAGACAGAGTAAGACATAGATAGATAGATAGATAGATAGATACTGTAAAAGAGACAGAGTAAGACATATATACATAGATAGATAGAGAGATAGATAGATAGATAGATACTGTAAAAGAGACAGTGTAAGACATAGATGGATATTGTAAAAAGACATTACAAAACAGAGATAGATAGATAGATAGATGCTGTGAAAGAGACAGAATAAGACATATATATATATATATATATATATATATATATATATATATAGATAGATAGATAGATAGATAGATAGATACTATAAAAAAGAGACAGGGCAAGATATATATATATATATATATATATATATATAGATACTGTAAAAGAGACAGGGTAAGACATAGATAGATAGATAGATAGATAGATAGATAGATAGATAGATAGATAGATAGATAGATATTGTAAAAAGACATTACAAGACAGAGATAGATAGATAGATAGATAGATAGATAGATAGATAGATAGATAGATAAAAGACAGGGTAAGAGTCATAGATAGATAAATTGTTTGTCTTTTCTCGCTCCTTGAGGACATTTTGTGCATTTGTAATCTCCAATCGCATCGCAAACACAATCGTATGACTTCCATATGTCTTTCCATTTGCCTCTGACGATTTCCCTCCGTTTCATTTACTGCGTAAGTTTCTTCACTGGCTTCCACAAACAGATAATTTCCCTACTTACAGTGGAGAGCCAGGGTGGGGGGGGACAATGCCCACTTCCTCATGTCTTTATAATGACATAATATAAATATGCACGTCTCCGTCGAAATATACATTTATGCAGATTTTGTTTTTCACTGTTTGCCGTTTATGGAAATACGTAAGCCAGCAAAAACAAGGGAAGTTCTCAGCCCAACCAGAACCTCAAAATCTGTTAGGTGGTAGTTTTTATTTAGCGGCATATCAAAGTTTATTGGTTATTTAATGCCGAAATCTAAATATTTTGTCGGCAATAATTGAGACAATAATAGTTTTAGTGATACAGGTTTTACTAATTAACTCATAGATTGGGAGAGAGAAGGTGGATTCTAACCTTTCCCAATGGTATTTGCTCGAGACTAAAACGAACTTAACTGGAACTCAGCTCTATCCGGGATACCATCCGCACGACTTAGCTTACAGGAGTTGGTGTTCCGAAACGATCATCTAAGTACCAAGCAGGCTCGATGATGCTTAACTTCAGTTATCGTACGGAAATTGGTGTTTCAACATGATATGGCCATAAGCACATTCCACCATCCTCACATTCTAAATTACAGCAATTGATATTTCTAAGCGGTCACCCATTTAGGTACGGACCCCGCTCGAAGTTGCTTAACTTCGGTGATTGTACGGCGACCGTTATTTCAACATGATGTGGTCGTAAGGCATTGAATGTCTGTGTCTTCATGCTTGGTCAAGAAATGTTCAGCATCCATTTTTACTTGTAACGGTAAATAACGTAGAAATTGAGAGTGGCTAACCTAATTGGAAGTGCAGCTAAGGCTGCTTATAGTCGTTTAACTCTTTGAAAAAGTCATGGGAGTCAGTGCCCTAAAACAGCGGTTCGTGGAACTTAAACCTCACCCATGAAATACGAAACGTAATGAGGATGGTTCGCTACAGTGCGCGTGGTATGCCGGGTTTTAGCCGATGGCAGAACTAAGGGAAGTGTTTCGTCTGAGCTTGTAGGGTGGAAAATAATTTGTCACCCACAAGGACACGGAGACAGTTTTGAACTCTGTTGAGTCTGGAAAACAAAGACAGAGCCTCTTTTGCCCATATATGGCAGTAGTACTCCATTTTCTGTCTGATCTAGCTCTTGTAACGGTAGAGGATATCAGGAATCAGATACTTACTGGTATGGTACAATATCTTTGACGATGGATTATATGTACGAGTTCCACTTGGGGCCTGGGTTGCGTTTAAGTCCCAACAGGGGATCAAGGCACAGGCACATCCCTGAGGGAACATCTATTCGTAGTGATTGGTGATAATGCTGGGTCCAATTGAAGATGATGGAATGTTTGTTTTTCAGGGCATTGAATGTAACCAACCTCTCGATATATAGAGTTTGGGAGGTGAGTGAACTTTAGTTCCAATAAACGTTCATGACAGGAGAATATTCAGGGTCTGCTAGGAAATGATTGCACGTTATTTGCCAAATTTGATAGGATATCTGCCTCAAGGTTGAACGAAGTACTGGATCCAAGCATTAAACAGACTGTCACCACTCAGTGTTGACCTTCAGTGTCCACATTTATATTTACATACGCTCTACTCCTAAAATCGATCACTTTTGACCATAAGTATCTGTTTATATTTCTGAGATGAGGTATTATGTACATTATTTACATTATTCGGACTATTGTCCCCATCTTTGTCGCCATATTTATTTCCACCGTTGTACGCTCCGGCCTTCTACAGGTGGTTGGAATTTCGAACTGAACCCTTTATTTTGCTTACTGGGGTAGAATGTTCTAGTTCCACGTGCCATGTTTGATGGATGTCAGTTATCAGTTATCTCCTGCTAGTTTTCCCTCTGAAAGTTCTCTACTGCCTTAACCGGGTATTGAACTCACACTCTTTGGGTCCTGTCACTGGATCTAACCAACGCCTTTATCCACTGTGTCTTTGAGGAGATCTGTGTATGAATTTCTGGGTATTAAACATGGCACGAGGAACTAGGACAGTCTACCCCAGTGAGCGAAATGAAGGGTCCAGTTCAACATTCCAACCACCTGAAGAAGGCCGGAGTGTACAACGGCCGAAACGTTGTAATAAATATGGCGACAAAGATGAGGACAATAGTGCGAACAATGTAAATAATGTTTTAGCCATAAATATAGCCTATCTTAAAACTATATTTTTATCATATTATACAAACAGACACACGTGCGCGCACGCGCGCACACACACACACACACACACACAAATATAAACATTGTGTCTATAGCAAGATACATTGCGTAATTACTCTGCGATGTAATGCCATGTTTTTGATTGAGTCCTGATTTCTCTTCGACTCGAGTTGCTGATAGAATGAGAAAGTCATCACAGTGAGTTAGACTTCGGAGTTTGTCTTTTGCAAGGTAGGCATCGTAACTGTTGACAAGTTATGGTATAGAGCAGTGATTCTCAACGATGGGAGTTCTTATGCCCAGAAGTGGACCTGATAAATATTTTAAATAGGCCTGGAGACACCAGGAGCAGTGTAATCATTAGTCTGGGTTTATATTTTCTACAAAATTTTAGTTTTATAAATAAAATGAATTTCCTTTTACATGGAATTCCGATTTGTGCTTATGGGGACTTGAAATTCTTTTGGCACCAAAATTGAAACGTACGGAAGAAAAGTTTGAGAAACACTAGAGATCGTCTGCCCTTTACTAGATCTTATTTCTCATCCCACAAGCTTACTAACATTACCTAGCCTCGTTGCCTTTCTTGAATTCTTTACAATGATGCTGATAGAACTAGAAGTTCTATCAGGATTCATTATTGGCAGTCGCCTGAAGTTCTACAGAAAGTACTAAAGGAAAGCGAGAAGAAAGGACTAACATCAAGGCAGAATGTATGATTGTCAGCAAAAAGAAGAGCCCAATATGAAAAGTACAATTTGGAAACGCTAAAATCAAGCTAGGACAAAATTTATATATCTAGGAAGAGTTTTAACAGTGAACGAAAAATGCGGCGCCAAAATCCAAATTTGATTTGCGATAACGAAAGATGCCTTATAAAAACTAAGTATTAAGAAACAGGAAAATATCGTTACAGACAAAAGTGTAAGTACTGAACTGTTATGTGATATCGGTCCTCCTGTATGGCAGTGAATCTTGGACAATCACAGATGAAGTAGAAACTTGATGCCACAGAAAGGTGGTTCTACAGAAAGATAGTGCGAATACAAGAACCTTTGAGCAAGGATGAAGTTTTAGAGAAAATGGAAACCAACACGACACATATCCTCAGTAAGAGACAGATTAAGTATCAATAGCATATAATAAGGAAAGAGGGATTAGAAAATTTGACACTCACACGACTTACTGAAGATAAGACACAAGGAAAACAGCGAATAACGCACCTAACGAGACGGTGAAAATGGATGGCAGAAAATTAGGAGAGAAAGCGAAGACAAACGTTACTAAGAGCTACAATTGAGGAGAGCCATGATCCCACATGTCCTGAAGAGACGCGGCACAAAGAAGTAGAAGGCCCTTTCATCTTTCTTTTAATGATTGTAAATATGTCATTAATAAAATATCAACATCTTCTACAAAGGTTTTCATGAAATAGGACTCAAGATAAACCGTCCCAAAACTGAAACTTGAATTGGAATGAAAGCAGTAATGGCACCAACTCTAAATCCGTCATAAAGAATGTGAAATTAGTAAATACATAAGACTTCAATACCTCAGTATATGGATAAGTTATAACAAATTTGGTATAGGTGATGAGGAAACTGGACAAAGAATAGTCTGGGCTCAGGGTAGTTTCGTAAAACACCTCCACTTACTACAAAACCAAAACATTAACCTAAAACCACAAGCCATGTTCTTAAATAATCTCGTTAGATTGAAACTTTCCTATGGATGTCATACATGGTGCCAAATTCGTTCTAATCTGACTGCTGCATAGAAACGATTTCTTAGAGCAATGGTGGAAAATGTCGCAGAGAGAATGAAGCATGTAACAAGATTATCTTTCTCCGAACGTTGTAGACTGGCGCTACAGAATCACAAAGAACAGAAACCACATCAGTGCAGGACTTTGCAGAAACAACTAAACTGGTACTCAAAGAGAAACAAAGGGCATGATCAAGATGTTGAAATTCCACACGATTTCAAATAAAACGTTAGGCAGAAAATTCACAATTCCTGATAATTGCTTTAAGGAAAACATTTTATAAATTTCGACTGCAGTACTGGCTAATCTGTCAATGAATACTGAATTTTTCCTTATAAGGAATGTTTCCTTATAACGGCTGATATTACCGTTATCACTTTCCTCAAAACTTCTTCGTTGCTCTAATATTCAGTCCATGATATTCTTAGTATTCTTTGCTAGAAGCACATTTCAGTCGTTTTGAGTGACTTCTTCAGATATATAGAAATTGGCCCGCATTTACTGCCATACAGGTGATTAGGTATTACATAGGCGTACAGTCAACGACGAAATTATTCGTACAGCCATCAATTTTGAATATTTTTATCCATTTCGCAGGATCTAATGCCTGTATGATGCCAGGCTTTTTATATGTTAATAAGCACACAAAAAGGGATAAAAAAAAACTCGATATTCAGAACAATAGGTTAAATAAAACAATTTTGACAGACAAATTATGAAAAATAGAAAAAGACAAAATTATTCGTACATTAGGAAATATCGTTTTAATTTGATTGATTTACGTAATCCTATTGAAAATCTATGGCAAGATATTTGCATAATTATTTCATTGGTGAAGGCTTCTAGACTATTTATTCAGTAGAATAGTTGTGATAATTCCAGCAAAGAACATGACGTGTTGCATAGAATTTCACCATTGTTATTCTTA